TTGTCATGTCATCAAAAAAATTAAAAGAAAATGTCAAATGGAATTATTTAATTGCCACGTCATGTTTAACTGACGAAAGAATCAAAATTGTGTAATTTTTAGAGTTAAAAGATCAAAAAAGTGAAAAAAATAATCTAAGGATAAAAAAAATGCAAACTTATAAAATTGAGGGATCAAATTTAGCATTTAACCTTTTCTTTTTCTTTTTCCCGTACGTGGAGGGTGACATGGAGGGTATCATTATATCCACATCAACTGTTCCCGTTAAGTTAACGTGCCACATGAGCAAAAATTAACGGAAAGACCAAAAAGGGGCTGGATTTGTGAACAGTAAGGACCAAAAAAGGGCTTTTTCGGTACAGGGACCAAAAAAAGGCTTTTTCCTATAGTAGAGGGACCAAAAAAGGTATTTAACCTTCACATTATTATTTTTATAAGCATTGTATTTTTCAAATATTTTTGGGGAGAAAAAAAATGTTTTTGGTCCACATCATCAATTTTTTTCCACGTGGCATTTTATTGATTAATGTGTAATAACACATCAACAATGAAAAGAAAAAAAACAAAATATTTAACAAATTATAGTGCCACCATGTCACTTAACTGATGGAAGGACCAAAAAGAGGTCGGATTTTAAAATTTAAGGACTAAAAAGGGAATTTTTTCGGTATAGGGACCTAAAAAGAGAATTTTTTCGGTATAGGGACCAAAAAAGGGCTTTTTCTCATAGTAGAGGGACCAAAAAGGGTGTTTAACCTATTGGTTGGGATACTATGTGCCAACCAAAAGCTCATGGCAACCTTAGACTTCGTAGTGCAAAATATGCCAATATTATTGCTATGAGTAAATTGAATTGGAGAATCCTTACAAAAAAGGGGAAATTTTGGAGAGAAGTCTTGCTGAAAAGTACAGTATTGATAATGTTCATTACACCTTTTCTTCTTCAGCTTCTCAAGTGATAAAAAATGTTTCTAAGGGAACCTAACTATTTAAATTGGGTATCAAATGGATTCCTCGTAATGGCCATTCTATTCGGTTTTGGTCTGATCATTGGGTTGGCAAGAG